CTTTTACAACAAATTTACTTAAAATAGGAACCTAAGTGAATGGCCAATGGCCCTTCAGAATGTTGCTTGGGCTCTTACCGGTAGGGGACTTATGGATTGCTTGCAATACTATGATAATTGCTTGTTGCCCTTTGTTCATTTTTAGCTCGATTATACGAAGTATATGGTCCTTGGAGAGCTGTCGTTCTCACCCCGGCAGATTTTAGATTAAAGTTTTGGTGCAATAATATATTTTTAGTTCCCTACCGGTTTACCGGAGGGGACTTTAGGTTTACCCTCTGTCTGTCTGTCTGTCCATCCATCCGTCTGTCTGTCGGTCAGTCCGTCTGTCCACAAAACTGGATCCCGCGATAACTTGAAAAGTACTGAAAATATTTTTATGAAACTTGATATATGGATAGATGGCAGTATGGAGATTATGCACATCTTTTTCTTTTCTTCCTATGTTGAAAATTCTGGTTGCTATGGCAACAAATAGGCTTAAAATATGGCAAATTTTACACATAAACTGGATCCAGTGATAACGCAAAAAGTACTGGAAATATTTTTATGAAACTTGAAATATGGGTAGATGGCAGTCTGGAGCTTATGCACGTCTTTTTCTTGTCTTTCTATGTTAATATTCTGGTTGCTATGGCAACAAATAGACTGAAAATATGGCAAATTTTACACATAAACTGGATCCTGTGTTAACGCAAAAAGTAAGAGAAATATTTTTATGAAACTTGTAATATGGGTAGATGGCAGTCTGGAGATTATGCAGGTCTTTTTCTTTTCTTCCTATGTTGAAAATTCTGATTGCTATGGCAACACATAGACTGAAAATATGGCAAATTTTACACATACACTGAATCCAGTGATAACTCAAAAAGTACTGGAAATATTTTTATGAAACTTGACATATGGGTAGATGGCAGTCTTGAGATTATGCATGTCTTATCTGTTCTCCCTATTTTGAAAAAATATTGGTTGCCTTGGCAACAAATAGGCTTAAAACATGGCAAATATAACATTATTTATGATTAGTCAAAAAGAGCTGAAATTTTTTTATGAAATTGCATCTTTAGTTCAAGAGTTATCTCCTTTTTAAGAATTTTGCTTTTAAAAATGTTATATTTTGGTAACAGGGATGTTTCAAATATTAACTTTAGAGTGTCCTTCAGTCCGTCTGTCTGTCTGTTCATAAAAACTGTTTCCTGTGATCACTTTTAAAGAACTTTTCCAACAAATTTACTTAAAATATAGAAAAACTGAAACATTAGTGAATGGCCAATGGCCCTTCAGGGGACTTATGGATTGCTTGCAATACTATGATAATTGCTTGTTCACTATAACTTTTTCATTTCTCAAGGTATCAACTTCAAACTTCAAATATATGTTCCTGATCATCAACCACATCTTATGTGACAAGGTTCATAACTCTAACATACACCAATATTTTTAGATTTATCTCCCATTGAACTTAGAATTTTCCTTAAAAAATATCATACTCAAATGATTTTTGTGCCCCCACTTTAGGGGGAGGGGGCATTGAGAATTTACCCTTGTCCATCCGTTCTCTTTTGTGTCGCATGAACCTCAAAAAGTATTTGACCTAGAGTCATGAAACTTTACAGGAATGTTGATCAGCATTTGTAGTTGTGCACCTGGGTATTTTAGTGTGGATTTTAAAAGATTTTTAGAGTTATTGCCCTTGACTTAGTAAAAATTTGCAATTTTAAACTTGTGTCGCATGTTACTCAAAAGTATTTGACCTAGAGTAATGAAACTTTACAGGAATGTTGATCAGTATGTGAAGCTGTGCACCTGGGTATTTTCGTGTGGATTTATTTAGTATTTTTAGAGTTATTTTCCTTGACTTAGTAAAATTTTGCAATTTTCAACTTGTGTAGCATGTAACTCAAAAAGTATTTGACTTAGAGTCATGAAACTTTACAGGAATGTTGATCAGCATGTGTAGTTGTGCACCTGGGTATTTTCGTGTGGATTTATTTAGTATTTTTAGAGTTATTGCCCTTGACTTAGTAAAATTTTGCAATTTTCAACTTGTGTCGCATGTAACTCAAAAAGGATTCAACATTGAGTCATGAAACTTTACAGGAATTTTGATCAGCATGTGTAGTTGTGCACCTGGGTATTTTCGTGTGAATTTATATAGTATTATAAGAGTTATTGCCCTTGACCTAGTAAAAATTTGCACTTTTCAACTTGTGTCGCATGTAACTCAAAAAGGATTTGACATAGAGTCATAAAACCTTAAGGAAATGTTGCTCAGCATATGTAGTTGTGCACCTTGGGTTTGGTTTCTCGATTTATCCAGTATTTGTAGAGTAATTGCCCTTGACTTAGTAAAAACCATTTCATTGTTCCTTGAGTGCTTGAGTTAGAATCAACCAACTTTACAGGAATAATGATCAACATCACTGTGAAGCTGTTCACCTGGGACTTTGCATGTGGTTTTTTTTCAGTTTTGTTAGAGTTATTGCCCTTGACTTACAGTAGTATAATTTGCAGTTTTCAACTTGTTCATGCATTATCTAAGCTCAAAAGTATTTGACTTGTAGGTTCACAAGAATGTTGGTCAGCATGTGTACTTATGCACCTTGGGGTTTGCTTGTGGATTTATTCAGTATTTGTAAATTTCTTGCCCTTTATTTAGTAAAATATTTTTAGTTTTCATGTGGCACAATAATTTTATTGTAGTCCATAAAATATTTGACCTATAGTCATAAGATTGAAAGAACAGTGGCGTGTGGGGGCACCCGTGTCCAATGGACACATTTCTAGTTATTAATCCGAAAGGTTGCGATTGTTTGTTATCAGAAAACCCACCTATAATTATTGAGTAACATTGAAAATGGTGGCGCCCGTCTAGAATTGACACTGAAAATTTCATTTATAGGTATAGAATTCTATATATTCTTTAATTGTTTTTTATTTGATTTTCTTTAAATATACAGCTGCAGCCTATAGTAAGGCTCCCACGTTTGCAATTTTTTGTAAACGTTTACGGAAACGATAACGTTTAAACGGTGGTACTTTTATGTACTATTCTTTACCATGTATTCAAGTATCCAAATAATGACTTACTTTCTAATCAATATATGCACAAATAATGTTCAGGGCTAATTGCAAGAGCGATGGCACATTTTCTGCAATGTATCCCCATTTCGCTGTTTTGATTGAAGGAAAAACAAACATTTAATTTACCAAAATAGAGGATATTGAATGAGTGTAAGTTTAAAGCTGAATTAATTGAACGAGTTCAATAAAATTATATTATGCGAGCCTCTGGCGAGCATAATATTATTTTATTCAAGAGTTCAATAAATTTAGTAATGAACTTACACAAATTTAATATTCTATTTATCACATACATAAAATAATGAACATTTGTAGTGATAAAGAAACATTTAGCATTGACGCGCCATAGTATAACGCTTACATTTAGCGCGTCTTTACGCTATGTTTATATAACACAAATGACGTCACATCAAAATATATGCACGACTGTGCAATACCGTTTTTAAGGAGTAGCAAAATCGGAATGGGTGTGTGATAAAGTGTATTATGTCACGCGCGATTATTGTAGGGTGATGCTGTGTGTGTGTGGGGGGGGGGGAGGTGGTGAGAATTTATGGTTACAGGCATGATTAAGATATTTTGTAAGACAATATAGTCAATTCGTTTAAACGGTAAAAATTATAATAAAAGTTTACAAATGAAAATCGAAACAAATTTGTTAAAACGTGTAACCGTGGGGGCCTTAGTCTATAGCCAGGCAATCTAAAACCAAGGCCAGCTTCGCAGTCACTGCCGTTGACTTCCATGTATAACAGCGAAGAAGCCCTTATTTAAGTACGCTACCGGCTTAACTGGAGGGGACTTTAGGTTTATCCTCCGTCCATCTCTCCGGGCTATCTAAGAGAAGTAGGGGGCCATGTAACTGTAAACAGAACAAAAGAGAATGAAAAAGTTGATTCTGTAACAATAAAATAAGGGGCTATGGCCCTGAGACTATTAAACAAAAGAAAGTATCAAAAGAAATGGCCCCTAAGTCCATTTAAATGGCACGTCCATCATTTATCAAAGGAATTTGAAATAACTTGGCACAAATGTTTGTTATAATAAGAAGATGTGTCATGCACAAAAACTGGTCACCTACCTCCAGTGTCAAGGTCGCACTTGCTCATTCAAGGTCATCATTGTCTATTTGAGGGTAAATTTCGTGTCCGGTCCATAACTTTCTTATCTTTGAAGGGATTTTGTAAATACTTGCCACATTTGTTCACAATAATGAGACAATGTGTAATGCGCAACAACTGGTCACCTTCCTCGAAGGTCAAAGTCACACTTTGAGGTCAAAGATTAGCAAAGTCTGTTATAGGGTGAATTTTGTGTCTGATCCATAACTTTTTATATAGATCAAAGTTTTCATACTTGGCACAAATAGTCACATAAATAAGACAATGTGTCATGCACAACATCTGCATCCCTACCTCCAAGCTCAAGGTCACATTTAGAGGGCAAAAAGTAACATAATCTGTTATTATAGGGTATAATTATTTCATGTCAGGTCTATAACTTCTTCAAAAATCAATGGATTTTGAAAAAACTTGGCACAAATAGTCAAAAAAATTAAGATGAGTCATGCACATTCCTGCACCCTTACCTACATGGTCAAGGTCACACTTAGAAGTCAATTTTAGATTAACATAGTCTGTTGTAGGGTATATTTTGTATCTGGCATAGATCAAGGGATTTTGTAAATACTAGGCACAAATGTTCACAATAATGAAACATTATGTGTCATGTGCAATAACCAGTGGCCTTCACTAAGGTCAAGGCAAAGATTAATATAGTCTTTGATAGGGTACATTATGAGTTAAAGAAAAAGTTGAGTGTTGTCACGGCTAGTTGGTTGCTATTATTTTAGTAAACAGTCTTTGGCCTCTTAGTATGTCTTTTCATAGTGTACTTATCTATATCATTTCAGTTGATGATTAACATACCTTTTTGATACGTTGAGAGATTCTAACAGACCTTCAAGAAAACAATGGTTGAAATACACATGGAAGAAAACTGTTCTCAAGATGAGGACTGGATCAAAATTTGTGGCATTTATAAGGACACACCAAGACTTGAAATTCTGAAAGAAATTAAGCAATCTTTTAAGAGCAGTCGTTTTACATTTGTCCATTTTGAAAATGATAATGTTACTGTTAAACAAACCTGTAAGTTTCCACAAGAACGTTTATTGCTTTACAATGAGCTGAAAAATTATTCAAAAGTGTACAGTAATTTCATTATACATGATCATAAGTTTCTTTATGTGCCTGATGACGAATGGAAATCATTTGGAAATATTTTTCCAAAACACAAGGGAATAATGCTGCTGTACAGTTGTCTAGAACAAGGCAAGAAGTTAATGACCAATGAACAAATACCAGACTTTGAAAGTCCACAACAAGGTGTCAGTCTACTCAATCAATCATGTCATGATCCTCAATACAATTTGATTAGCCGTACATTTGCATATTGTCCACAGATTCCCTGTGATCAGAGGGACACTGCCTCTTCACATAAGGGATCCATATCAAAAAAGTGCTGGTATTGGTATGGGGCAGAGAAGGCATGCATTTCATTTAATATGATTGCACATGATAAAAGAACTGAACCAGGTGATGACATGGCTGTAAGCCCTACAAACATAGCAAAATTTATAGACAGGGCTCTGAGGTCCACAAAGATGGCAATAGGTGGAGGGATGGCTCCGATAAAGGTAAAGAAGGCACAATATAAAAGCATGGTTCTGATGCTGACAAAGATGGCAAAAATGATGCTAACAATAATTGTTCCACATGAAAAAATGGATATAATTTGCACGAGTCTGAACATTACAGACATTGTACTAAGTGTAATCAAAGGTCAATTGTTCATTAAGACTGCAAAGGGTGAAAAAATGAAGTGGAAGCTGTCAAATAATAACCAAAGTGTAAACATGATGTTGCTGTCCAGAAAAACTGAACCAGATAGTCAAAATACTCTGATGTTAACAGGGAATGATCAAGAAGTTTCCTTATTTAATACACCAAATGAAGTGGAGTTCTTTAGCAAAATTTTGTTAGATGGGCCAAAAGCAAATAGGCCAGAAAAAAATATTGAGAGGTCATTGATCAATAGGGAAGATCATGTTTCAGTTGTAGATCATTCCCTACCTAAAGTAAAAAAGTCAAGAAAAGCAGTTAGCAAAAAATATGGCTATAGGGTGAAGATAAAACATGCACTATGTGGTACTGGAAAAGGTAAATGTGCTAAGGAGAGGAGTATTTTAGGAGAACAAAACAAATTTTTGAATAAAATGCCACTTAGAAATAGGTTTTTAAAGAAAAGAGATAAATGGAAGAAAAAGCATAGAAGAATAGATACAAAGACTCAACGTAAAAGATTGAAGCCCTTGAAACAACAAAAGGGATGGTCGTGGAATTATTATGAAAATCTAAAATTGGAATACCTTAAAGATGAGGAGTATGATTTTAATCAAGTTCAAAAAGAACATATTATGGATATATCACATTATATAAGGGAGTTTACCAGACTACCTTCTGGAGAACACTACTCCTCTAACATTGATGTATGGCCAGCTAGCAGAGAGAATGGAAGGAATGAAGAGGAATCAAATGTTTTTTCTGCTGATCAGCATTCAAACCATGCTGTTCAAAATCAATTAGTGCCAAGCAGAAGAGAAAGAGAGCCACATGGTATTGGAATTCACCATCCATCGCAAAGAGAATTGACGGGCATTCATGCAGTGCAGCAATTGGGTGATGTAACTCAAGTTAACAATAGAATGGGAATACAGATGTCTTACATACATGCTGACCAGTCATCAACACAGGAAACAACCATTAATGCTCTAGCATCTGATCTGCCAATGCCACATATAATAAGACGTTCCTCATCACAAGCAATAAGAACCTCTAGTGAAACATTTGCTTATGCAGAGCTGGGTATTGGAGAAAGACTGCCACATCAGAGAGTATGTATAGTAAGGATTGTATCATTACACAAATAAGTAGAGTTGCCAAATTAATTTGCCTTCTAATTATGCACCTCAGATTACTATTAAGTGATTTGCATCTTCAGGGGGAGGGGGGGTAGGTATTTGCTTTTTTATTGATGAGCTCAACTTAGTCAACATTTGGCATATTTTTCGGTGTTTGTACGTCCGCCCAGTCTATATCTTGCTCATTCCTTGAAGGATTATAAAATAATTTGGTACAAATGTTCGCCATGACGGGGTGGCGTGTCATAAAACCCAGGGCAGCCACTCAAAGGTCATGGTCTTACTTGGGTGTCAGCGCAATACGGTAACCCATGTCTGGAGCATAACTTTTTCATGCATGTATTGATTTTAATATTACTCTGGACAAATGTTCTTCATAGAGATGCTGAGTGTTGTGCAAAAAATTAAGGTGTCTGCAGTAAAGGTTAAGGTCACACTTAGGGGTCAAAGGTAAAATAACAAAATAAAGCATTCACCTGGAAGTATAACTTCTATATACATAGATGGATTTTAGTAGAACTTGGCACAATATTCTCCATGCTGAGTTGAGTTGTTTCTGACAGGCAAAATGAAGGTCAAGGTCAAAAGAGGTCAAAGGTCAAATGAAAATAATAAGATTATGCTTTGAAGTTTTATGCTTGGTGGTTAGAGGATTTTAAATTGTTGAGCCTGCTTTTGGTGAAGTTTACTTTAAGTAGTCACTTTCCACTTTTGGCAGTTTGGTATTTGTGCATCCGTGAGTCTGTCTAGCTTTGTACTGTCTGTATCTTGCTCATCTTTTGATAACAAAGTAGTTTGATACAAATGTTTACCATGATGGGATGCAGTGTGCCGCTCAAAGGTCACACTTTTGGGGTCGACCCAAAACCAGTGTCCAGAGTGTAACTTCTACATGCATAGCAGGATTTAAATATTACTTTGGACAAATGTTCACTAAGATAATATACAAACATATTTCTTTCATACAGGCATTTAAGACGTATTATGTTTGGAAATTATTTTCATAAACTACTGGCAGCAGACAATTATTTTAAAACACTTTTACTAAAAACAACCAATATAATTATATGACTTTCACTTAACTTCTGATAATGTCTTCTAGTGTTAATTTTTATCATCTTAAATGAATATGAATGGATGCTATATTACATACTTTATGAATTATAGAACAGAAGACCAGATGGTAACTTTCAGAACATAAGACCAGTAGGTGACATCCAGAACATAAGATCAGTTGGTAACATCCAGGAAAGTAGACCAGTTGGCTACATCCAGAACATAAGACCAGTTGGTAGCATCCAGGACATAAGGTCAGTTGGTAACATCCGGAACATAAGACCAGTTGGTGGCATCCAGGACATAAGATCGGTTGGTAACATTCAGGAAAGTAGACCAGTTGGCTACATCCAGAACATAAGACCAGTTGGTAGCATCCAGGACATAAGACCAGTTGGTAACATCCAGAACATAAGACCAGTTGGTAGCATCCAGGACATGAGATCGGTTGGTAACATCCAGAACATAAGACCAGTTGGTAACATCCAGGACATGAGATCGGTTGGTAACATCCAGAACATAAGACCAGTTGGTAGCATCCAGGACATGAGATCGGTTGGTAACATCCGGGAAAGTAGACCAGTTGGTAACATCCAGAACATAAGACCAGTTGGTAGCATCCAGGATATAAGATCAGTTGGTAACATCCGGAACATAAGACCAGTTGATAGCATTCAGGACATAAGATCAGTTGATAACATCCGGGAAAGTAGACCAGTTGGTAACATCCAGAACGTAAGACCAGTTGGTAGCATCCAGGACATAAGATCAGTTGGTAGCATCCAGGACAGAAGACCAGATGGTAACATCCAGGACAGTAATGTACAGAATAGAAGACCATCTGGAAATTCACACCAAATATTAGGTACTTTAAAACTACTGATTGTTTGACCCCCATGTTTGTTTTTAGCTCACCTGTCTCAAAGTGACATGGTGAGTTTTTGTGATCGCTTTTTGTCCGGCATCTGGTGTAAACTTTTACTTTGAACGATTTCTCCTCATAAACCCCTTAGCCAATTTCATCCAATCTTCACAGGAATGATCCTTTGGTAAGTCAAATATTTGAAATTCAAATATTATCTGCAGCATTCATATTAAACAATTACATATTTGGCATAGGGTGTTTTGTGTACTTTAAGAAACACAACTTTGGTTTTATTACATGGTATTAAAATTCTGAATATTTTTAGGATTATCAGTTTTGAAAGCTTTTATTAAGTAGGTGGGGTGTTAATGATAATATATTTCAAACAAACTATATTTATATTTTGTGCCTGTTTATCTTCTGAACGTGAATGGGAGCATGGGTTTTTAAGCATTGAAACAGTTAGCCTGTATCAATCACCCAATCACTGGCTCTGAAACTCTCGGCTCAGATAGATAGTCAGTACAACTCTTGAGCAGGACAATTTTTGTCTTTTTAGCTCACCAGAGCCGAAGGCTCAGGCTGAGCTATAAGTATCAAAGGGGGATACTCCAGCGTCCGTCGTCATGCGTCAACAATCGCAGTCTTCTCTGAAATTGCTGGGCAGATGTACCTAAAATTTGGTCTGTAGCATCCTTGTGACAGTCATACTTAAATTTGCTCATGTCATTTCAATTTGCCCCTTTTAGGGGTCAGCAGAGCTAAAAATAGAAAAACATCTAGACATCTACTACAGAACTAATGGATGGATGATCACCAAACTTTGTCTGTAGCATTCTTGGTTAGTCTTTTATCAAGTTTGCTCATATGAATTTGATTGGCCCCTTTTAGGGGCCACTAAAGCTAAAAATAGAACAACCTTTAAATGTCTATTTCTACAGAACTAATGGATGGATGATCACCAAACTTTGTCTGAAGCATTGTTGAGTAGCCTTTATCAAGTTTGCTCATATTATTTTGATTGGCCGCTTAAATTAAAAATAAATATACATTTAAACGTCTATTGCTACAGAACTAATTGATGGATGATCACCAAACATTGCCTGTAGCATTATTGGGTAATCTTTTATCAAGTTTGCTCATATTAATTTGATTGGCCCCTTTTAGGGCCGCTAAAAAAAGAAATACGTTTAAACATCTTCTCCTACACAACTAATTAATGGATGATCTCCAAGCTTTGTCTGTAGCATTTTTGGTTAATCTTTTATCATGTTTGCTCATATTAATTTGATTGGCCCCTTTTAGGGGCCACTAAAGCTAAAATAGAAAAAACTTTAAACATCTTCTACTTCAGAACCAATTGATGGATGATCACCAAACTTTGTCTGTAGCATTCTTTGGTACTCTTTAATCAAGTTTGCTTATATTAATTATGCCCCCATTTCGAAGAAAAGGGGGTATATTGCTTTGCACTTGTCGGTCCGTCGGTCCGTAGACCAAATGGTTTCCGAGTGATAACTAAAGAACCCTTAGGCCTAGGAACTTCAAACTTGGTATGTGTGATTGCGTCATGACCAGTAGATGACCCCCTATTGATTTTGGCGTCAAGGGGGTCAAAGGTCAAGGTCACATTACCTATTGTAAGCAAAAATTGGTTTCCAATCAATAACTTAAGAACCTTTAAGGCCTAGGAACTTCAAACTTGGTATGGTGATGGTCATTGACCAGTAGATGACCCCTATTGATTTTTTGGGCGTCAAGGGGTCAAGGTCAAGGTCACATGTGACCTTGTAATCAAAAAACGGTTTCCGATCAATAACTAAAGAACTTTAAGGCCTAGGAACTTCAAACTTGGAATTATGGTGATTGGTCATGATCAAGTAGCATGATCCCTATTGATTTTGGGGTCAAGCGGGGTCAAAGGTCCAAAGGTCACATTGAACCTTGTAACAAAAACTGTTTTCCGATCAATAACTAAAGAACGTTTAAGGCCTAGGAACTTTAAAACTTGGTATGTTGATTGGTCATGATCAGTAGATGAACCCTATTGATTTTGGGTCAAGGGGTCAAAGGTCAAGGTCACATTGACCTTGTAAGGCAAAAAAACGATTTCCGATCAATAACTAAAGAAAACCTTAAGGCCTAGGAACTTCAAACTTGATATCGGTGATTGGTCATAATCAGTAGATGATCCCAATTGAATTTTGGGGGTCAAGAGGTCAAAGGTCAAGCGTCACATGTGACCTGTGTCAAGCAAAAAATGGGTTTCCGATCACATTAACTAAAGAACCTTAAGGCCTAGGAACTTCAAACTTTGGTATGGTGATTGGTCCATGACCCAGTAGATGACCCCTATTGATTTTTGGGGGTCAAAGGGGTCAAAGGTCAAGGTCACATTTGACCTTGTTAGCAAAACGGATTCCAATCAATAACTAAAGAACTAAGGCTAGGAACTTCAAACTTGGTATTTGTGATTTGGTCATGATCAGTAGCATGACCCCTATTGATTTTTGGGGTCAAGGGGTCCAAAAGCGTCAAGCGTCACATTGACCTTGTAAGCAATAACGGTTCCGATCAATTTTAACTAAAGAACTTTAAGGCCTAGGAACTTCAAAACTTGGTATTGGTGATTGCGTCATGATTCAGTAGATGACCCCTTTTGATTTTGGGGTCAAGGGCGTCATAGGTCAACGGTCACATTGACCTCTTTGGGTTAAAAACGGTCTTCTGATTCAATAACAAAAGAACCCTTAGGCCTAGGAACTTCAAACTTGGGTATTGGTGAATTGGTCATGACCAGCAGATGACCCCTATTGATTTTGGGGTCAAGGGGTCAAAAGGTCAAGTCACATTGACCTTGAAGGTAAAAACGATTTCCGATCATAATTACGATATGAACCCTTAGGCCTAGGGACTTCAAACTTTGATATTGTGATTGGTCATGATCAGAAAGATGACCCCTATTGATTTTGGCGGTTAAGGGGTCAAAGGTCAAGGTTCACATTGACTTTGTAGGTAAAAACGGTTGCCGATCAATTACGAATGCAACACCCTTAGGCCTAGGGACTTCAAACTTGATATTGTGATTGGTCATGCATCAGTAGATGACCCCTATTGATTTTGGGGTCAAGGGTCAAAGGTCAAGGCTCACATTGACCTCTTAGGTAAAAAATGGTTTCCGATCAATAACTAAAGAACCCTTAGGCCTAGCTTGGTAAGAGGATTGCTCATGACCAGTAGATGACCCCTATGATTTTAGGGTCAAGGTCACATTGACCTTGTAGGTAAAAATGCTTTCAAATCAATAACTTAAGAACCCTTTGGCCTTGGAACTTCAAACATGGTATGGTGATTGGTCATGACCAGCAGATGACCTATTGATTTTGGGTCAAGGGTCAAAGGTCAAGGTCACATTGACCTTGTATGTTATAAAGGTTTCCGATCAATTAACTTAAAAAGCTTAGGCCTTGGAACTTCAAACATTGTATGATGATTGGTCGTGACCAGCAGATGACCCCTATTGGATTTTGGGGTTAAGGGGTCAAAGGTTAAGGTCATGACCAGTTATACTTGATATTCCTTATTAATTGTTTGATCACTGGGTCAGAAGTCATGCATAATAACCTTATCACATGACTCATTGGCTGCTGATAGGGGGCATACATGTTTTACAAACATATCTTGTTTGATTAGCCCCTTTTAGGGGCCACTAAAGCTAAAAATAGAAAATGCCTTCGAACATCATTTCCTACTGAAATAATTGATAGATGATCACCAAACTTTGTAGCATTCTTAGGTAGTCGTTTATTAAGTTTGCTCATATAAATTTGATTAGCCCGTTTAAGCTAAAGCTTAAATGCCTCAGGTCATGGAATTTTTTCAAATTAGTGTTTAAACATATTCTATGCTCAAATGTAATATAAGAATATATTGACATTCCAACACTGAAAAGCAGTTGTTCCTGGTGAGCGACTCAGGGCCATCATGGCCCCTCTTGTAAGGTATCTACTTGAAATTTTAAATATATATTTCTAATTATTACACACATGTTGTTTGACAAGGTTCATGACTCTAGCAGACTTCCTGAAGTTAAAAAAAAGTGTCAGACATTCGGGCTGACAAACCATGAAAATCTGTCAGACCGAATGAAATTATTCAAAATCAAAGGAAAACTTGTGTTTGTATTTCTAAGACACTTTGGTTTTAATTTTTTTTTTCGCAATCGGCATAAAATTGGCATATTTGGTACAGCGCATATTCACCTCCTCTTTGTCATACACCAACGTTTCTCGGTCCTGCTTCCACTTTCATTAAATTTTTGTCTCAGGATATTCTTTTCATCATTTTACTGCTGTTCTGCGCGCTCCTCTGACGTAGATTTTCGTTTTTAACCTCATTTTGGCACCTTAAACGACACCATTTTGTATACATGCGACTTGGATAAAAGCCAGACGGTCAGACCGATTCGAAATAAAAAATCGTCAGACCTAATCGTAAATTAATAGGACATGTCCGTCGGACCGATGTATTTCTGGAAGTCTGCTCTAGCGTGACTATTTCCAAAATAACTCCCCCTTGAACTTGGAATTTATGTTAACAAATGTTATTTTTTTACTATAACTGAAAAAAAAATTATACGTAATTGATTTTTCCTATCATACTATTTTGTCTTCCTTACTGTGTCCAGTATTTTATTAGTCGCTGTCTCCTGCGACAGCTCTTGTTGATATTGGTACCAATGCAGCACAAATATATAGAACATCTGAATTTGATGCTCACTCATTCCCAGTAAACCACAACATTGTATAAATTCTAGAAGTTAAAAAATGATATTTCTTGTAGAATAAAATTCTATTTTATTTCAAAATAGCATCATCTTAACACCTTGAAAATAAGATATTACCAGTACAAATGTCCTAGATTTTTCTCTGTGAAAGGTTTTTTTCTAGATGAACCCCAAAAATAAATTTAATTAATTTTTTAAACATAAAAGGTCCAAAATTTGGTACCTTTGGGAAAGGGCTTG